AAAAGAGAAAAGAGAAAACAGGGGGGGGGGGGGGGGAAAGTGCTATTAAGATGAATACACAGAACAGAAAGCCTGCCCTTACAAAAGAAGGCTGAAACATTGGCTTGTTTAACCTGCCAAAAGGAAGGTTACAAGGGAGAAAGGCATTGTTCTTAAATATGTTTGTGCGATACCAGAGGAGGAGGATAAACTTAATTAAGGATAATAAACTCACACAGGTCTAATTTGATCTGAGTGAGAAAGGAAGCTAGAGAAAGACCGATGAAGCTCTGGGACAATCTTCCAAGCAGAGGAGTGGCATAAGATATTTACATGGTTTTAAGGCAGACCACAGTAAATTCATAGAAAACATCATATGGCAAGTTGGAATTATTTTGGAGTTACATCCCAGACTTAGATTTTCTGACATAAAACATATTCTGTGTACTAATATCCCAAAAAGAATAGTGAAGACACTGGATCACCATGTGTTGTACATGTTTACGCTGTGTTTTAAGAATCCCATCCTCCAGGCTTTCTGCTGGTCATTGTGACGGTCAAGAATAATTTCTTCTCTTGCTTGCAATTCATAACTTGCATTTGGATTTTTTCATCTCCCCTTCAGTTAAAGCACTGCCACTAGTCAAAGCTGGAGATGGAAAGTTAGGTAGGGTTTACTGGCACTTCTTGGGAAACTCAGACCCCTGAAGGTCCCTAGTCAGCAGCTAGTTCTCACAGTCCAGGTGCCATAATCTCTCGCGAGTGATATGAGAGAACAGGACCAGTGGAAGGTTTTATGTTCTTCTAGTATTGGTCATGGTCCTGACTGATCTGGCATTTTCACCTAACAATATCCTTGTTTCCCCCAATTTCTTCCTTTGGAAGACTGCAGTTTGGAGGCATTAAATCTGTTGTACCAAAGGGCTCAACTTTGTGTTAGTATTTTGGAGTGCATCTAGCAAACGACTAAAGAGGAATGAAAAAAGCAGAAATATAGAGGAAATCCCAGAAAATTCTGCAAACCCCCAAGTTCTGTCACTAGTTTCCCTGCAATTGTAGGGACTCATTTCCAAGATACAGAGGGTCATGGTCTGTCTGTCCCTCCCCAGGCACTTATAGCCATAGAGGATGAGCCTGGCAAGTGCACAACAATACTGGACAGTCCTGTGTCAGGCAATTATTCATGAAAACAAACTTAAGAGTTTGGAGAAAATGGCTCCTTCCTCCACAATACCAGCCACTGCTGAGATGGCAGACCCTGCACTTGCCTCTAAACAGTTGAGAACAGAGTCCTATCCGAGCCTCCAGCCCCCAACGCAGCACAGTCACCTTTCGTGATGTTGACCTCACGGATGCTGTAGCCCTCGCGCAGTCGGACTGAGACAATGCTCACGAGGTCAGCATGCACCTCCTTCTCAGTGTGCTTCTTCCTCCTCATCGCCAGAGCAGGGTTGCTGCTTGCAGACACCAGGTGCTCATTGAACAGTCTGTGCTGGGACACTGCAAACGGCAAAGACGGGGTTTGTGAGGGAGCGACTCCCCTGCTCCTCATCCTACAGCAACAGCCCTCCCAAAGTGCTTTACAAAAGCTGCGAGAACACTTGCTGGCCTGAAGAACAGTACATCCCTCAGGCACCACTTATACCCACTCCTGATTCTGCAACTCATCAAACAGGTCCATTAGTGTGGCCAAGAGTCCTGGGAGAGGGACAGGGTGGGGTGGCAGGCCCTGCTTCTTCTGGGACAGCCTTTCTGACAAGGCACGCGTTGGAGTTACACATTTAGCCTAGAAAGGCAGAAACTGCACAGCTGTTGCAACAGTTGCACAGCAAGCTTTTGGGCTTTACCCCTTTCCCTGGAAAACCTTGAATTCCCAGGTGCTTTCTAAAAGGTATCAGGATGTGGAAGCCTTGAGTTTAAACCACTAACACCCGATCTTTTCAAGATTCAACATTTCCAAGTCCCAGGCCACCTCTCTTCAAACTTGCACTGTATGCAGCTTCTGCTGTCAAGTTACAGAAAGCGCTGATGGCACCAGCGTATCGTCAGGGCATGAAAGGGTGTTTCCATGTTTTACTGGTAACTAATCTCTCCTGGCGTACTCTCAGTCACTAACATTCACAAAATCAGAACAAGCAAGAGAGGCATTTGGGACGGTTCTCAGTGGTATAGTTTTTCAATCCAAACTGCCATCTGCAAGCCCAATTACGACAAGCTCTCCAGAACGTCCTCATCTGCGAGCTAGCCAGTGTGCAGGAAAGGTCGGACAAGAGCTTCTCACCCCCTCCAAGTTCCAACACAGCAGGCCTAACTGCAGTCTGCTGAGTGAAGTCCACAGAAAGGGAAATGGTGCAAAATGGGACACTAGTTTTCCCCAATCCACCCAATTCCTGGAACCAGGAGGGGAGTCACGGATGAGGCTGCAGGGCCCAATAGTGCCCAGCGCCTACAGGAGGCATGGCCCGGAGGTTATCAGCATAACCAAGCCTGATATGGTTATCAGCATAACCAAGCCTGGGGTAGTCACCCCAAAGAAAGGTGCGGTAAGACATCCGTCTGCTGGAAGGAGGACATGCACATTCCTCACCACAGTAGTACTCTGGATTCAGGGACTCCCCAGTACGCAGAAAAGAGTACAGCAGAAATGCCTTGTGATACACATTCAGATCCAGGCTCAGGGGATCCAGCTCAGGGCACGTGGAGAGGTAAGCACCAAAAGTGGCCATGGCGATGAATTTCATCAGTTCCACATTGGGAACGTGGCCAAAGCTGCAATCGTATGAGTAGACACCGCCCACCTATGGGATGGATAAAGAAGATACCTGAGAGAGTACAGCAGTGCTGAGGACAAGGCAGAGGACCGGTAAAGGCCTCAAACAGGCAGAGAGGTCCCCTCTTCCCCTCTGGAGGTGAACACCACCGACAGCAACCCACCTTCCTCCCTCTGGCAGGCAGCAGCCCCCCCACTCTCTGCTAACGGCAGACATACCTGTACAAAAGAGCAGGCCACTGTGCCACTGCGGAGCTGGTTGAGTAAAGTCTCGCACACAGCCACATCAGGGACACTAGTCACACCATCTGTAATTATTATTATACCTGCAGACAAGGCAGTATCTTAGTGCATCTTCCATCTCAACCAGCTACCACTCTTTCAGTATATCCAACAGAGATAAAATTCAGGCAGGGCAAAAGCAGAAAGGAAAATCTTGAGGTTGGTTTAGAGCTTCCAAGGTGTTCTGGAGCTGGCAAACTTCCTGACTAGGTACAGCGAAGCACTCAAGCATGGCACAGTTTTGCACACTCTGGGCTGTCCTGAGCAACAGTCACAGCTGTGCTTCCTCACAAATTCCCTAACGCTGACACACGGCATGTGGTGCAGTGTTGTTCACCCCATTCCCACCACCACAATTTGCCCACAGAGTGCAGAGCAAAAGCTGCTCTTGAAATTTCATCCCTAACAGAAGGGTCCACACACCAGCCCTTATTAAATTAATCTCAGCCTAAGGCAGGAGGAATACAACCCTTCACAAACAACTGGGCAAACTTTAACCCAGAGGACGAAGCCAACCTGCGCTGGAGTTGGAGGGCAGCAGCTGCAGCGCTAGGATCCCCTGCCGGACCATGCTGACGAGGCCAACATCGGCAGTGACAACAGACATGCTGGGCTTCCTCCCAGATGACTCCTGCACGTCACCAGGGCTCTCTTGGCTCAGGGGCGACAAATCCACCTGGAAAAGTAAAAAAAAACAAAACAAAACACAAAGCCCCATGGGGCAGACTTCAGCCTAGCCCTAGTTCTCACTCTCACAAACAGCCGTCAGTCTAGCAGCCCCATGGTACCACAGCCTTGGAGCACTTCAGCAGACTCCACCTCTAGCTTTAATTTCCAGGTGCTCTCAAAGTCCTGGTCACTTGGGCCCCTTAGAACAGCTGGGCAAGGCTGCTCAGGCATGGAGGAAGGGGACAACATGCTCAGAGCTGTATTATAAGCTGATTTCTCACAGAAGGGGAAAGATGAGACACTTTAGGGTCACTAAAGCTCCTCTGCAGAGCAAAGCAGCTTCCAATTAAAGAGATGGTGAATATCTCTTTTTTCTTTGTCATTTAGCAGAAGCTGCAGCTATTCAGCATCTACTCAAGCAAAGCCCAGAAACACTGGAGAGGTAGAGACGGCTATGTCTCCCTTATGAAGCACTACAGCAGAGGGGGTAAGGAGCCTTGTAAGGCCAAAGTCTAGTGCCTATACATTTAACTCTGTTCAAACAGCACTCGTCATGCAGTGCTGATATAAGCAAACACAGGTAGGCTTCTCCTGCATCTTCTATGAAAAACATCCCCCAGGCAAAGCCTGAAATTTGTATAATTACACCGGTGAGGAACCTACTGCAGTCATAGTCCCCTCATCTCCAGAAGGCTCTGACAGTTCAACCCTGTAATAAACTATTGCTTCATTTTTACTGCTAATACAGAGAATGGGCGAGACTCTCCCCTGCAAAGCTACAGATGATTGGAGCTGGGAAAAGAAAATTAGAACTAAGTAAACTTTTGTTCTGCACAAATGGGAGCAGTCTGTGGCTGTGAGCAAAAAACCTGACTATCCATCACTTTAATTTGCCATCCTTAACTTCAGACACTTGTTGACAACGATACAGCTAATGCAACTTCAAAAGTAAAAAAGTTTCAGTCCCTGCCCCTCCCCTGGGGCCTCCCACCTCCACCCCACAGCCTGTGGCAGGACTCACCAGTCCCTCTGGCCTGAAAGCGCGTCTCTTTCCCCCATTTGCATGGGAGAAGTTACAGGAATGCATACAAAGCACTGAAAAAATACCAGTTGGACACACTGGCAAAGGTATTTACTTCCTGCAATCTTCTTTCTGTTCCAGGACTGACAGTCTTAGCATTCAAAGATATAAATTTCAGGTAGAATATGAGATTTGAGGCACTTCAGATATGCAGCTGCGATAGATCACCAGTAGCCTCTTGCTCATCTGATTTTAAGACTTTTTTTTCCTTTTTGCCCAAATTCTAATAACTAATGCTAAATAAGGACTAAATAACCTCATCCAGGCCAAGAATGCCTTTGACTGCAAGGAGAGTGCCCATAGATATGATTTTGACTGCCATGTGAACATGGCAGTATCACAATGTAATCTTCACATTCTTCATTTCCAAGATCAGGAGAGATGATCTTGATGAGATATCCATAGACAGTCTGAATCCCTACAGTCTCACTTTTTATTTCATCCTAAGCTGTATTTTATTGTGCTATCATTAACTTGCTGATACCTATATCCGTGGCTACTAAACAGTATCTGCCACAGATTTCAAGGAGCATTAGAAACTGCACTGGCTGTTTATTCAGCTTCATGGTCAGTTTTCATGGTAACAAGGAAATATTTTCATTCAAGAAATGTAACAAGGGCCAAGGGCATATTCACAGCTATTTATAGATTAATGATAGGGGCATAATCACCTCTCCCACCATCTTCTTCAGAGAGAAAGCACATCCTGCAGTTTGTCCCATGATGTACAAGAAGTCAGGCTGCTTTATTGCACAGTGATCTTGCAGAAGGTAACCATTCTCAACAGTCCTTCTAAACACTTATTGGTTCTGCTTTCCTCAGTGTTCAAGTCTCATTACTGGATCCCACAAAGTTATCTTACAAACTCCTTAGCTGTTCCTTCTCCAGACCTATGCTGCTGTTCCTCTTGCCACCCCACCCCAGAGAGGCCTCAGAGTGCAGATCTCCAGGGAGCCAAGAGACCCCAACCACCTCTGCCCTCCTTACCTGCGGTTTGGGTTCGTACTGTTGCTGGAGCATCTCTGCCACTTTGTTCTCAAAGGCACATAGCTGCGTGTAAACTTGGTGCAGAAAGGCCTCTCGCTTCGACTCATCCAGCTGACAGCCCTGGAATAGCACCTGGCCAAAGGACAGTCATCAAGTTAAGGTTTTATAGTAGCAGCCCCCAAAATGGTACACAGGAACATAGTTCTGCACAGTGAAGTTCAGACACATCCCTGACAAAGTACAGGTACAGCACAGGCCTCTTCTCACTATTCCTGCTCAGGGCCAACTGCCTGTGAGCAGAACCGTCTTGTGGCATTTGCAGTGCACTCCGCAGCAGATGCTCACATCACTCTGTGGGAAATCTCCTTCTTGGGTAAGAAATTTCTACTTCATTTGCTTTCTTCCAGGATAAGCAGTTGTCAGGAGAAAGCGATGTGGGATCCTTGTTAGATGCCATTAACTCTGGTCTGATGTTTCTAAGGAAGGCCTGTTTGTTCCAACCTAACTCACCTACAGACTGATCCAATTATCTTCCAGTAAGTGGCTGGATAAAGGAACAGCAAATTGAATAAAGAAAAGAAAAAATTATACTGGACATTACAAAAGAGGCTGAGTGATATGACAGAGTGAGCCTGTCACCACAGAAATGCCCCAAGCTGACAGGGATGACACTTGTGTTTACAGATGCCATCATTGTACAGGCAATCGCTGTCCACAACCAGGAGGCAAAAAAGAAACAACGCGTAGACAAAGAACTCAATGGACGGGTGGGACGCTGCACGTTATCCACATTCCCTCAACCACAGATGGGCAAGATCTCATAGTGACATAGGAAAAGTAAATGATTACAATATAGACAGGCTTTCCTGGATGAGTGATACACATATATTCCTTTTCCTCCATAAAAGGAACATAAAGCTTATCCAGTTGTACCCAGAGATTACAGTTCCTGGCCTCATACAATAAACGGGTCTTTAGAGAGATCCAAAGAAGAAAAACGTAGCAACTTCAGAGTGCTCAATTTAGTGTAAACAGAGGAGATACCGAGGCAAAGCATGATGGTGTCTGTAGGATAGCTGCACAAGATGACACACAAAACATCACTGGCAAATGGAGAAATTCCTGCTACGCTTACTTTGGTAAGACCTAAGAATGGACCAAAGCGAGCGCCATGCTCTTCAAGCACTAGACAGACCATTAAAGGCTGCAGCCTCCCAGAAGGCTTGGACAGAGGCAGGCTGGGGAGAGAGAGGGACAGAGCAAGCGTAGACTAACAGGCTCCTCCTCTTACCACCCACTTTCCCTGGTATTAGCAAAGGGATGAAATACACCATCAGAAATGTGAAAATAATGTGAAAATACTGTGAGATGGAAGGCATCGAGGATAAACTTCAAAAACCACGCTGGCACCATAAAACAGATTTCAATTTATTAAACAGACCTTCCCTGGCTCAAGTAAAATCTCACTGATAATCTCAATACTGGGGCCAGCTGCTCTCTCCAGCAAGGAGAAACATATTCATACCAGTGCAAAAAGAGAGCAAGGTTTGTAGGAGGAGGCAATTATTTTTTAATAAACCACTGCTACACAGATGGAGCAGGCAGACAAGCTTTTGGGCACACCAGCTCTTCTTGAATGCTTCAAGCTAATTATAACAGGCCAAAAAGAATTAGTCAACAAAAATAAACAAAAAAAACCAACAAGAAAACAACAACAACAAGCACACATTTGACATGAGGGAAATATTCCCTGTGGCCCAACTCTGAGACCGTGCCTGTGGGCGGCGTTCTCTGCTGGGCCCTGCTCCCCCAGGAGAAACCTCCGCTTCCTGCCCAGAAAGGAGAAGTTGCTTGCATACACTTCCCCACCGCACCAGGCTGCACATTTTAATAAGACAAGTCTGCAGCATCACAGATAGCAGAGCCCAGTTACCACATGCCCCCACTTTCCTTTGTGTTCACAGGAAGCCCATACAGCAAGCTGCTCACACGCTAAGCCGTGCCAAGGGAGAGGCTGAACTTCACCTGATGGGACTGCAGGCCAATGATGGAGGAATAAGCCTGGATGGTGACAAAGATCTCTGGCTGGTAGATAATGTCTGAGCCAGGGATACGAAAGGGTCTTAACAATCCCACCAAGCATCGGGAAAGGGCATGAAACACTTCATCAAAAATTATCTCCCCTGTTGAGTCATCCTGCAGAAACAGAGAAAGGGAACAGCTTTTTCATCATCTAGGACTTTCAGTCTCATTGCTGGTTGCCCCACCACACAGAGCCAACAGCAAACATGCTTCTGCAATGGCAACTGGATTAAAATGACAGCTCCCCGTAAACAAAAGTCACGCATTGAGCATTCAGCAGAGAAACAGGATCTGCCATTAAGCTGCCTAATTAGGAGGACTACATGCTGCCCTCCTGGGAAAAGCAAGGCTTCTGCAAAAGTCAAGACTAACACAGAGAGGAATAAGCCTTCTCAGCAAATAGAAGCGGGTCAAGCCTTTGAACGCAGAACACCCCAAAGAGGCAGTTTCTGTCCTTACCACAATCCCCGTGGAAGGGCTCAGATCAAGTTCAATCACAAATCGGTACTGGCGGGCCAGGAAGGTGACCCGCGTAGAGGGCACGAGGAGATAGGGCCTGGGCTGGACAGGCTCGTCTGGCTGCCACCCGTTAGGCAGGATGCTGAGAACATCAAGTTCATTTTCTGACTTCACCTACAAGAACAAGCATATGATATACGACAGAATGTCAAGCCAAGACAGAGAAAAGATCAGAGAAGGGAACTGGGTTAAGATCTGCAGGGTCCAGCTGCTCATGAGAGGCGCAGAGCCAGCTTGCTACATCAGGCCGTGGCGACACCATCCAGCCCTGGGCACCAACTCACCAGCTCCGGCTCGGGCACAGCCCAGATGACCTGATGGAGTCGGCTGAGGACCCAGGCGAGGCGCACGTTGCGGGAGATGCGATAGTCTTTCTTCATCAGGAGGAAGACATGCCCTGCCTCCTCCACCTGTGGCGAGAGCACAGCGGCCCAGGTCACCCCAGGGCACCCAGGCGGGCACCCCGCACCCAGGCCGCTTCGGCCTCGCACCCCTCGCCTTCCCTCACAGGCCAGGCCAGCCGCGCCGCTCCCCACCGCGGCCCTGTCCCCCCGCACCGCGGCTCCCCCGCCCCTCGCTCCTGCCCCCGGCTCCCGATTCCCCCCTCCCCAGCTCGGCCC